CCCCTGCCGCAACCGGCGGAGAGATCGCCGGAGCGGGAGTGGATGTCGCCGGAGGAGGAGAAGTGACGGCCTCGGCTGCGGCAGGGACAGTGGGGGAGGATGATTTTGAAGCGGCCTTGGCTTTAGCCTCCTCGATCTCCGCCTCCGTCTCAGCCAGCAACCCGATCGCAGCCCCGACAGGAGCGGTCTCCCCCTCACCAACGACGATGGCGGCGAGATACCCATCGTAGAAGGTCTCGACATCCATATCGGCTTTATCGGACTCGACAACGACGACACTCTCTCCCTTTGCAAGCTTCTCGCCTTCGGATTTGATCCATGAAACGATCTTACCCTCTGTCATGGTGGAGGAGAGAGCCGGCATGAAGATCTCCCTGATTTTGGATTGTACGGTCATGGGTCTCCGGCGAGAGGATGCGGGAGATGGAGAGCGGAAGACAATGCGGCGTAGGCATGGGACAGGAGCGACGGAGAGGCAGGAGGAGAAGGAGATGGTGGATTTGGAGTTTGAGAGAGAAGGCGTCGATAGGAAAGAGGAAGCCGCAGCCCTTGTTGCTTCTCGTGGAGAATTGAGTTCGCGCAGAGAGAGAAAGAGACGAAGAGGTAGTAGGAGAGTAAAATGGCGGAGAAGACGAGGTTGGAGTTTATTCCAGCGACTTAGCTGAAATTTGGATTGTATTCATTAATAAATTCTCGTGAAATTTATTTATTCAGACAAAAATAAATAATAAGTCCGAGAGGGAAAAAATGGAAAAACGTCAAAACGAAATAAAGAAATATATAATATAATCTTTGGTGGCAGAATACGATCTTTCAGTTTCAGTTGCAGAAGGTGAAATTATCTCAAGGCTGGGCGAGAGAGAAAGCAGCGAAATTTCCTAACCCTAACTCTAAATTTGCTTCGACGATATTCGATGGCAAGCGACAAGCAGACCGAATCTCACCACCGCAAGCACCGCCGTTCCTCCTCTTCTTCTTCTTCTTTCTCGTCGTCGGAGGAGAAATCTTCGAAGCGGCACAAGCACCGTCATCACAGGCGCCACCACCACCATCACCGTGGCAAGAAACCCGACGCGGAATTTGAACATTCCGGCGATGAGATGGTTGCGGCGGCGGCGGATGGTGCTCCTCCTCCGGGGGTTCCGGCGGCGGTGAGGATGAAGTGGAGGAGGGAGAGATTCTTGGTGAGATTTTGAAGAAAAGGTCAGATTCTGAGGGAGAGTCGGGGGAAATTCGATTTCGGGACGATAATCTGGTCTGTTCTAATTGCCCCTTTTACCAATGGAGTTTGTTGGCTTAACTTCCTTTTGGATGCTGAGATAAGAAGGGTGGATAACTGGAGAAAGTCTGAAACTTTTCCGAAGTAAACTTATGCCACATTCTTAATGACCAAACAGAATTTAAGCCCATTTTTTTAAGTTGCCTTTTTGAAATTTATGATAAAAATTTTGGTCCGTGAGAATTTATAGATAACATGTGATCTCATGCATATATATGTAAGAAAGCTTGCACTGCAAGAACTGAGTGAACTGCAAAAGCTGTTGCACTAGGCGTTTCGATGGAGACTTTCCTTTGATTTGTAAGAGCTGGTTCCTGCGGTAAATTCTTTAAACAAAAAAAAATAATTAGTAAATGTTCTTTTTAGTGTTTGTGGACATCACTCAGAGGGAAATGGTAAGAAAAGTTACGATAATAGCTATGCAGAAGAGCTTGATCGCATTCGGTTGGGCAACACCAGGTCCAGGAGCCCATTTTCTTCCGAAAGTTCTGAAGAAAAGCCCAAGGGTATTATTACCCGCTCGCCATCAAATAGCAGGTACTCTAGTGAAGTTTGTGCTCAGAGGAGATCAAGATCACATGATCGTGAGAGGGAAATATCAAGATCACAAAGTGTTAGGGATCATGATTTTGTTAATTCTGGTAGGGAGGAGGAAAAGTATTATCGACAGGGAAGATATGATGAAGATGGTAGGCATTATAGTAGGGAGGTGTTGGAAAGAGAGGGAAATAGGGAGAGATATATTGATAAGGACCAAAACCAAAGAGTTAAGGAACGGGAAGGAAGTAGGCAAAGAGAGAGAGATAATGATCGGAGGAGGGAAAGAAAACGTGAGAAGAGAATGGAGATAGAGGCTGAATATGAAAGAAGAAAGGAGAAAGATCGAAATCACATCATGGATAGAGATAGGAGGTGGGAAAGGGAAA